TCACCAGGAAGTACTTGGAGCCAGAACCAATTCACTTGAAAGACAGTACGAAGATTTTGGCGATCAATCTTCGTTTTCATTATTTTCTTCTTCACTTTCATCCTCATCAGGAAAACCTATATGTGTAGGCATTGAAAAAAAATTATAACTTGTACATGTGAGATTTCAAACATTTGTACAGGGTTATTGGTTATAAATGTCACCCCCCTCTATCTTTTTTATTTGACATTTTAGAAAAAAGTGTCTCAAATAAAAGTTTTATGGTTGAAATTAAATTTTTTAAAAAACTCACTTTTGCATATACAGGGTTTTCAGAAAAGCTGGTCGTGCTCCAACTTTCTTATTTTAAATAGAATACCCTGTATATTATTGATTGAATATTCGAATTCTACATAGAATTCTGAGCACATTTTATTTGATATACCCTATACCTAAGTTCAACTGTTTTGGAAATATTGACAATTGAAAATTGACTTTTTTGCAACCTTGACAGGCTGTAAAAGCTGAACGCTGAACGGTTAACATTTGAGCAAAACCGATCTTACATTTTTTTCTTAGATTTTCATAAGCTATTATTTGACACCAACATCGAATTTATTCGGGGATTAAATTCAATTGGAATTTTTAATCATGGATTAAATGAAAAGTTGTTTTCAAATATTAGTGTCAACTGATAGTTTATGAAAATCTAAAATAAAAATGTGATATCGGTTTTGCTCTAAAATTAACCGCGTAGGTTTTACAGCCTGTCAAAGTTGCAAAAAAGTCAATTTTCAACTGTCAATATTTCCAAAACAGTTGAACTTAGGTATAGGGTATATCACATGAAATCTGCTCAGAATTTCATGTAGAATCCGAATGTTCAATAATATACAGGATATTCCATTTAACATAAGAAAGTTGGAGCATGACCAGCTTTTCTGAAACACCCTGTATATGCGAAAGTGAGTTTTTCAAAAAATTTAATTTGAACCATGAAACTTTTATTTGAGACACTTTTTTCTAAAATGTCAAATAAAAAAGATAGAGGGGGGTGACATTTATAACCAATAACCCTATACGTAAGCAGTCATTTTGCCTTTTAATAGGTATTCAGTTGTTTTGATAGTAACTACTCAATTAAGTTGGCAGACAGAAGAAAATTGCAATTTAACAACCATATGTGCAACTTATGTAACTTATTGCGGTTTCTGCCATATTAAAAATATGCATATTCTAATAGCTACATTCCACTTAACCAAATGGCAGACGAGTTGAAAACATTCATCATATAAACAATTTTTGTCGCAATTTGGTTCATTGTTTATTATAGTAGGAGAGCCGGCAATATGAACGGGTATGTGATCATTGCAATGGATAATTTTCACATAAAAGAATAGCTCATAGCTTGATTCTCATGGCCACAACCCTTTGATGGCTGGGCCTAAACTACCCCTCCTTTTTCGAAGGAACAATGTTATCGCTGCAATAGCTGAAAATTGGTAGATATATTCTTTAATATGTCTTCCCAAATAATATATAGGGCTACCTCGATTTTGATGGCCGGAAATGATGGCAACCCTCATTGAAAGTCGAGCGCGCGCATTATTTTGCTTGCTAAATACAAATTTTTGAAAGTGACTCTTTCAAAGTCACTTTTGAACTTAAAAGAGGACTCTGTGAAGGGGATTTTGCATACAGCTGTAGGTCTTTAGACAAAAAAAGAAATATGAAATTATATTAATAAAGTGTTTGCCGCATATGATGAGAACCCCCAACACCGCAAGGTACTTCTTATTTGTTTCGCTTATGGTTCTTGAAGTATCTCTTTATAAAACAACTTTAAACAACTTTACGGCCATGAGAATCGAGGCAACCTCTCCATTTGGTTTAAAGGTTACTATGAAGTATTGTTTTATGTAGAAATTATCCATTGCAACGATCACATACCCGTTAGTATTGCCGGCTCTTGGACTATTAGGACTTGTACCAGTCTGCAATTTCTGCCAGTCAAAACTTAAGCTTCTGGTAGTAACTTATTTAATATAAATTAATGGCAGACGGGAAATAATTGATCTCAAACTTGAAAAATTTTGACATTTTGAAAAATTAAAAATAAATATCTGTACCACTTCAATTTTTCTGCCGGTGCAAAGGTACATTATTTATCTAAAATCCATTGTAACAAAACATGTTTTAGGCGGGAGAAAATTGTTTCAACATCTCAGCATTTTGATACAACTTCAAAAATTGTTAAATATTATTATACCAACCGAGATTTTCTGCCATTTACTTATTGATGTATTACATCGTAAATGTAAGATAAATTTAATTTGGCAGACGGGAGGTCGTTGATCCACATGTCCGATTTTTGCGACATTTTGAAATTAGTAATATGACACTTTATACTAACCTAGGGTTTCCGCCGTTTAGCTTCCTTTCACTCATTTTTGTTTAAATTACCTTCACAATGTGTGGCAGTCGGGATAATATTGATCCAAATCTCCACTTTTCATTACATTTTCAAATTAGCATATCATTGTGTTGTCACACGCGGGGCTCTTTAAAATTTCAGCCATTCCATTTCTTATTGCATAAAGAATAACCATCTTTAATGGCAGACGGGAGAAAATCGTTTTAAAAAAATGGTCGTTATGCACCGGTCTATAAGGACCCCAGTGTTGGAAGGGTCATACATCCTATAGGACTAGCATATATGTAAGGGCATATTTGGGAAAATATATATCTATACTTTTATACAACTTGAGCGAGTTTCTCTTCATCGACCCCCAAAGCTACAAATCTCCCATGTCACTCCCATAAGTTGTGACAATATTTATGTTATTGATTTTTATATTTACATTATGGTCTGGAGTTTTCTCTACTGTCATGATGTTCCTACCTACTTAGTGACTAAACTTTGTATCTGTTGTGGAAGCTTTGCTCTATTGGCTATGCAGTATAAATAAAGTTTTTTATGATTATTATTATTATTACAGGGTGGCAAAAAAGTATAACACTAACTAAATACTTGTAAGTAGATAATTAAAAAAATGTAAAATATTGTTAGTTTTGTTTTGCAGTTCGAATGAGGTAGGGACATGATTAAAATAAAACTCAAACTTAAATTATTCCACATATTTTTATACAAAACAGAAAAAAAAACATGAAAATTGTCAAAAAATTATTAGTGTTAAATTAAAAATTATATAATTATATTCTAACAACACTCAAAAATATAGGACAATTGGCAAATCACAATTTTAACTTTCCAAAGCATTGCACTTTGCCTGTTTAATTTTTTTTTTATTGAATTTTATTACTCATCACAGATAATCTTAACTATACAACCACCAAAAAGGCAGAAAAATAAATACAACGTACATTTAATAGACAATTATGCCTTCCTTAACAGCAAAAAGCTTAAAATAAAAAATGCGCTTTTTATTATATCTACATTATTTAATTTTATATTGTTTTGAAAATATTTTTTTTTAATGTATTTTTTTCACATACTTATCTACAGACAAACAGACACAATCACTTTGATTATTTAAATGTTGTTATATTGTTGCCAGCTAAGATCGAACCAAATATCATGATGCGACCTACAAATAATATCCTTAAGGGCATGAATTATTTTGTATTTACAATATTTACAATAATTTTATATTTAAAAATAAAATCAGCTCATCGATTCATTTCAATTTAAAATTCAAAAAGTATTTTGAGAGAAAATGAAATTTCGAAAAAGTATTCACATTTTACTAAACTAAAAACTAATTCACATAGTTCATATACACAACCCAAATATATATATTTTTTTTAATAATAAACAAAAGAAAAATAAAACAATAATAATATTAAGGTCCCTGAGCAGTATGACAAAAAAAAAATGCTGCAAATAAATATAAAAAATTATTAATTTTAAATAAACTAAAAATAGCAATAATAAGTATGGATTTGTCTTTGCACGTACAAAATATATCTAAAATAAGTAACATGTAGTATGTAAGCGATAAGGGCAAATTATTAAAAAACACTACATATTATATTAATTCAATAAAAAACATCGATTGCACTTACATGTGGGAATTTGGCCTAGTATGAAATAATATAATGTATTTATATATTAATTAAACTCCTGGTAACTAAAATAAATATATAAATCAATTAAAACTTTTTGCTTGCATCAAAATAATAAAAAAATTGCTTTAAAAATGACCACAACAATGCAATTAGCAACAGCAAACAAACTAAAAAATATCACCTTTTTTTTTGTACCTACATAACTACCAAGAAGAGTCATTCCATTATTAGATAAGTAATTTGATATTTTTCTATTTTGAATTTTTTTATAATACTGTCAAATATTGTTTTAATATTTTGTAAAAGTTTGTAATCTCATTAAAGCAATTACAAATAATTTCAGTTGATGAGAAATCAATTGAAGTAGAATTTAAATTTGTGTCAGTTGGAATGACACTTCATTGCCAATTACAATCGAAGTTATGAAGTGCTTGAGGAATATTATTTGTAGATGTTGTACACAATGGACTTGTTTCCAGAGAAATCACAAACCAGTCAGAGCGTTTTTGATTGGTCCAAAACGCCAACAACCAGCTTCCTGACTATTCTCAACCAATGAAATTCGCTTTGACTGGTTTGTGATTTCTGTGGAAACTGACCTAAGATAAATAACTAGCCAAAAATATTTAGACATTTGTGTAAGATACCATTCAGAGATATTCTGTCAAAATTTAAAAAAAAAAAAGGAAATTAGACAAGACAATTTGAGCCTAATGCAAAATGCTTGTACAAATGCCCAAAAAGACAGGGGGTTATTTTAGCTTGCCTCAAATTGGCTATTTAATTCATTTGGTTTCTGCACTTAAACACATTTCTTCCTTATTCATCAACAAATTATTCCTAACTTGCTCATAACTCTGTGTGTATATTGTTCTGTAAATGATACATCAAATTTAATTTTAAAAAAAAGACTATTTTTACATTGACGTATGTCACCTAGCCGTTATAGAGGCCATTTCAATACCTAACAGTTCTTTCACTCTGTCCGTATATTTCACTAGAGCTATCTTCGATGCTCTCGCGTTTATTTTCTCACCCATATTTAAAAACTGGCAACAATGCGCTTGCTCCAAAAAGTCCGACATTTTAAGTTCCCTAATCAAGTTTTTATTTGATTTTTGTACTGTTGATGTAGGAGGCGCAAGTTGTTTCAATAACGCGTCGCGTGATTTGATTTTGAGGCAGTTTGATAAATCTTGCAATAGAATCCATCGTTCTGTAGGGGGATCACCCCGTAAACTGTAGAGGTTGGGTAGAAGAGCTTCTGACATTTCGATTTCGATGTCTTCAAGCTCCGCTTCGGAGTTCTCTTGTGGTGTGTGGTGCAGCACGTCATATCCTGATTCTTCTGGATCTGAAATGAAAATATTCCGGGATGAAATTTAATGAGTCACCTACAGCCTTTCATTCTAATTCTCAGTATCATCGTTATCACCATTCATAGAAACATTTTTATAAACAAGACTGTTAAACTTAAATACATAAAATATGAAAAAAAAAATCCAGGAAAAAAAATCAAAGCATTAAAACAATAATAATAAGGGAGAAGTTAACTAAGCTGAAAAAGGGGGAGCATCGGCAGTGCCGTATTTCCCTATACGTACATTACGCACAGGCGTAAGGCGTCAAATCTGGGGAGGCGGCAAAATTTAAAGAAAAAAAATTAAGAAAAAGACAAAAAATAATCAGAAAAAAAACCCGAAGATCCATCGCGACACACGGTTCTGTTTCGCGTTGGCCTTTATTTGATTTTTCATTAGTAGGTACAGAAAAAAAAATGAAAAAAGGCTCAAAATAAACGTTTTTGGGCATAGACACCATCCTGAAACCAACATGGTTCTCACAAGATTTGGAAGTTTCGAGATGATCTTAAATGGGGCAATAGAACAATGCATTCCATTGAAGCCTGTGAAGGCAAACCAGTAAAAGCCTTCGATTAATCAATCACTTTTTAAACAAATCAGCAAAAAACGTAAACTTTGGAAAAAATACAAAAACAATAAATCTGACGAAAACTACCAGGCCTATATGACCCAAAATAACACACTCAAACAAAACTGGGCGAGGCTAGGAGAGTATATGAGCATGGCTTAGCTAAAGCAGATTCACCAAAAAGGATCTACAAATATATAAGCAGAAATTTGAACTTTAAGGTGTCAACAATAACACTTAGAGATTCAATAAATCAAGAAGTTTGAGACATTGAAGCCATGGCTGCAAAATTTGCTGAACAATTTGACAAATCCTTCACCCAACAGCAGCACTTATGTCTTCCACCCCTACCTGCAAATACCAGAGTCTGGAATCCGATAGACGCCATAGAATTTACAGAAGAAAAAGTCAAAAGACCCCTGAATAATATTAAAAAGGCCTCAAGTCCCGGGCCGGACAGAATACCAACCATTATGCTACAGAACTGAAGTGCGTCGGTTGATTCTCTACTCTGCAGGAATGTTTCGATTCGGGACGCATACCAGACAAATGGAAGCTTTCTATAGTGACCCCCCTCTTTATAAAAGGCAACAGACACAATCCGGAAAATTATCGACCCATAAGTCTAATATGTAGTCCATTGAAGTGCTTGGAAAAAGTCATGGTCGAGGAATTGACAGATTTTTTCATTGAGAACAATCTAATACCACCTTCACAGCACGGGTTTCTATCAAGATGCTCCACTGTCACCAACCTACTGGAGAGTCTTAATGACTGAACAGAAAATCATGATAACCTTCAGCCCACTGATATTATATATCTTGATTATGAAAAGGCTTTTGATAAAGTACCACATAACCTGTTGCTTGGAAAACTAGAGCATTTTGGAGTACGGGGAAGGTTGTTGACACCCATCAGAGATCTTCTATGTGAAAGATACTACCAGGTTCGAGTCAATGGAACAATTTCAAGACAACACCTTGTGAGGAGTGGGGTTGTCCAGGGATCGGTTCTGGCCCCATTGCTCTTTATAACATACTTTTTAATCTTGTTGATTGTATTGAAACAAAAATTAAAAGTTTTGCGGACGACGGAAAACTATATGCCAACCCTCTTCTCAATGTAGCACAACTAAAAGCATACTTGCATAATGTTGAAGTATGGACTGGAACTTGGGGTATGAAACTCAACGAGTCAAAATACACAGTACTTATCATCGGCCTAAACAATCCCAATGAAGAATATACTCTGCAGAACACAGCACTAAGAACTTTCACTGAGCAGAATGATCTCGGAGTCCTAGTAACATCCGACTTGATATGGGAAAACCACATTGTGAAAATAGCAAAAAAAGCCAGTACATTTGTCTATCTGATTAAACATGCTTTCAAAGACCACTCCGTCGGAATGATAGGCAAACTGTACAAAAGCTTCATCAGGCCTTAACTTGAATATGCCTACACAGTGTGGAATCTATATTTTATCCAGCACATAGAAATCTTCGAAAAAATACAGAGGATTGTAACCAAGATACCATCAGAAATTAGAGAATTAAGTAAGTTATCCTGAGAGACTGGAGATATACCCCGATTAACAACATTAAAAGAAAGAAGGCACGAGGGAGATCTGATTGTTACCTTTAAGATAAAAAGTGGACATTACAATTGCGACACGTCAGGGATATTTCACCAAAATCAAAACCAACAACTTTGAGGGCACTCAAAAAAACTAGGCAAAGAAAAAGCATCCAAACTTCCTAACAAATCGTGTCGTTTATTCGTGGAATGGACAGGTCAACTTCAAACAAAAAAGATTAGTACTGCTGGTCAACCTTAGCAAGAAAAGTTTCAAGACTCTAACCGGGTTTCTCTCGGGACATTGCAGGCTCAAGAAACCCCTACAAAAGTTGTGGTTAGAAGAAGGTGGCACCTGCAGATTCTGTGAAGACGGAGAAGAGACACCTCACCATCTTCTACTGAACTGCGATGCCGTTAGTCGCTCAAGGATGAAGAACCTGGGAAGTGCCCTTATACAGATGGAAGACGGGGCTGCTTTGAGCAGGAAATCCGAATTGAGCAGCAGAAAGAAGGGTACAATAGATCAACCTTGGTCGCGGTGCAACTGACACCTCCAACACACACATACACAAGCTGAAAAAATTCAAATCTGCCTCCCAGCAACAATAATAAATTCGGTCCTTACTAAAGCTTGAAACAGAGAAGAAAAGTTCTCACCAAAACATGATGCTGGTCCATTGAAATGCCAAGGCGATCCACATTCTCCATCTCTATCAGTCAAATGGCCCTTGAGTAACGTTTTAGCATTATCATCAGTAGCCAAAGATAAGGGTGTTGAACCAGCATACGTAGCCAGAACTGGATCAGCGCCATAAGCTAGCAACAGTCTCACAATCTCCACAAATCCATTTTCCATAGCTTCGTGCAGCGGCCTAAAAGAAACAATAATTAATATAATTTCTTGTCACATTTAAATGCAACAAATTTTTTTACCTTATTCCACCCTTTGCAGATTCATGAACATTGGCACCGTATTTCAAAAGCAACTTTGCTATTTCTAAGTGGCCCCTAGCGCAAGCTTCGTGCAAAGGAGTATAGCCTGCATTATCCTTGGGACCAGGCGGACAGTGCATTTTTTCCAAACAATATGCAGTGATATCCTAAAAATAAAATATTCATGCATTGGAAAACCAAATTTTAAATAACAAAGTTACCTCATATCCCAATCTTGCAGCCCGATGTAAATGCGTTTCCCCAATTCCTTTGTTTAGCACCCAAGTTTTGATTTCTTTCTGTATATCGTCGATTGATTCTGGAGCTTTAGCTGGCTGGGACCGTTTCTTTTTCCTTTCCACACTTGTGTCAGTTTCTTCTTTCTTAATTTTCTTCTTTTTTCTAATGTAATCAAATCCTGAGCTGAATTTCCTTCTCATTTTTCCGTATTTGTATTTCCGTTTGCCAGTCAGTCCTGCATCATCGTCGTCTAACGACATGGTTTCAGAAAAAGTATCAGGGTCTTTTTTAATTACCAAGTCACTAAGTTTTTTATTTTCATCATCATCTTCAACAATAATTTCTTTTTTAATTTCTATAGTAATTGGTTCTTTTGCTTGCACCTTCTGTATAATTTTTTCACTTATATTTGATTTTTCCTCAGTTAAAATTAATTCCTTTACATTTTCTTTTTTGATTAATATTTCTTCCAAGTTTTTGGAAAATGGTTCAGGTGTATTAAATAACTTTTGGGATTCCTCCATATCGTTAACACAACTTGGTGGAGCTGATGCAGGTCGATCTTCTCCAAATACTTCTTTGATTGTAGCTCTTTGTTTCATTGCTCTTGTTTCTTTTCTGGTTCTTGATGATAAAACTATAGTTGTAAATTTATCATGAACTGCAAGTAAATTGTTCCCGCCATTTATAAAAGCATCCTTGAAATTGCTTACAGTGTCCTTTCTAAAAGATAGAACAGCAGATTTAGCATTAATAACTGGAGAAGTAAGTCCTTTTGATTTTTCTGGCGATTTACTTGCAACTGCTATACCAGGAGTTGGTGTTGGTAAAAGTTCAACAATATTATCTGCTTTTTGTACAATTTTTAATGTATGATCATCTTTTTTTTTGTTTTTTCTCTTTTTTCTGCCACCACACTTTTCTAATAATTTATCTAAAATAGACGAATTCTCTTTCCTCGTATTTGGAAGGCTTTTAATTGAGGAAGAACCCTCAGAATCATAATTAGTCTTTCTACTAAACACATTAAAGCTACTTGTACTTTCACTATCGCTATCGACAGGTTCGGATTTGAATTTTTTCAAAAGTTTTTTATTGTCAGTGGTTGATTCTGCATCGGTTATTATTGATGTGGTAGGGGACTGAGGATACGGATCTAGATCAGGCAATGAAGTCGATAATCTCATTGGTGGCCTTGTAAGATGTATTAAACTAGGCGGCATTCTTAACGATTTTTTATACTTATAAACACCTTCTTCCCATCCTGGATAAAAATGCGAACCATCTCCGAAATTCGGCTTTTTTACTGGCTTTATCCCACCCACCAAATCAGACTCTTTAGAGGGGCTGTCGATAGATTCTTTAGCAGTTTTTGAAGCTTCAGCTTCAACTTTTTCCGGTTTCTCAGACCTGATTTTTGAATCTGCTGTCTCATCTTTACTTGAATCTTTATCTTTTGTTGTCTCTTCGCTTTTACCTTCAACAATATGACTAGTTTTTTGTTCATTGTCCCCCTTTTCGTCCTCTACAGCTGTTGATTTAACTCCATTATTGCTATCACTTGAAGATAAAATTCTGCGTTTCACTCGATGTTTATGTTTAGCTATTGAACCTGACTTATTTTCACTATCCGACTCACTATCATTTTTGAGGATTGTCTCAATTAGACTACTATTAGATTTTTCCATACCATCAGACTTACTATTGGCAGTCTCCAAAGGACAATTTGTGTCTTTTGGAATATTAACTTGTTTTGCCACAGCCGAAGATCCCTCTTCTACAGGTTCAATTTTGATTTTAATATCTGGAGGCGGCAGTTGCAAGTCAGTTGATAGTTCAGGTGGTTCTGTTTTTATATCTAGTTTCGATTCTGTTATCCTCTTCACTCTTCTTGTAGGTTTGCATTTCAATTGTTCCACAAATTTATCACAGATTGATCCGAATATATCATCATCAGGGCTAGGGGCTCTAGAAGATGACTCAAACGCCTCTATTTTTACATCTGCATCTAACGAAAGCAGAGGCGCAGAAGATTGTTTTAATGAATTTCGCCGATCTTTTCTCATTGCATCCAAAGTCTGCCTTTCTAGCACAGGCATTTCATTTTCATCCTCAGAATCTGGAAAATCAAAAACGGACGTTTCTGACGAACTTCTCAATGTTGATTTCTCCCTCAAAGGACCCTCGTGCTTTGCAATATCTTCCTCATTTCGGCTAAACAATCTCTTTCTTGGTGCGAAAGCACCTTGTCTTTCTTTTAGTAATTTGGGTGGACTTGCATTTGTACTAGAGAGGCTGGAAGAACTCGAAATTAGCATATTTGGTCTGTTTGGCGATTTAATTGTGTCTTCTAAAAATGCTTGTATTCTAGCATCACGAGCCGCGTTATTATTCGCATTTTGTGTATGCGAAACCTCCTTGAGTTCTCCTTTGGTTCGAATTCGAGCCGCCAAAAAGGCTGCTAAGCCATCATAATCATTATTTGCATTATTATGCATAATAACCGTATTTTCATCGTTATGGGCCTTGTTAATTAGGCCAATGTCTTGGATTATACGTGGTTCTTCAGATGTTATAATTTTTGGTGGCATTTTGCATATATTTGGATCAGGTACACTAATGGGAGTAAAAGGAGAAATATTATTCCTATCAATGCCAGGTTTAGGTTGCAATGGAGCTGTAACATCCATACTAGGATGCTGTATGTCAGTTCTATGACTAATAGGAACATCCAATGATTTTTGTTGTTCTATTTTCTTTTGTTCTTTAATTTCAATACTATTCCTAAGCAGACTTAAAACTCTTTTATCTGCGCCAGCAGCCGCGCTAGGCTTGACCATATTTAACAAGGAAGGACTTGAATTATTAGGCCTTGCAGCAGCAGGGTTTGCATACAGGTTTTGAGTTTGTTTATTGGGAGCATTATAATAAGAAGGATAATGATGATTTACAGATGAAGGCACATAACTTTGGCTATACTTTATATGTTGGTAAGGATCATTGGGTAAACTATAAGCTGCTTGTTGATTTGGTTGGCTATATTTTGGATAGTTGTACATGTGGTTTGGGTTAACATGAGAATAACTTCCATTAACTAAAACAGTTTTAGGTTCTTCAATGGCTTTATGCTGCTGTTGCACCTGTTGCACACGCTGTGGGTGCGAGGGCTGCTGACCTTGTATTTGTTGTTTGTAATGTGATTGTAACTTTTCTTCAATTTGAAGGTTGATAGATTCCCGCCAATTTTCTACCTTAGCTATTTTGTTTGGAATCGCTGGAGATTCTACCTGACCTGGCCGTTTCGCTGTTAGCTCGCGTGCCTCATATGGATATGTTTGTAACAATTTTTGAGTACCACCATTGTAATCATTAGGCTTTTGAGTATTTGTTTGGTAGTATTGGTCTGGCATACTAGGATATCGGCTATTTGGGGGTGTAAGTTGGTGATAAACCATTTGTTTACTATTGTATTTAGAGCTGGCACGTGCTGGAGGTGTTTCTTGAGAAATGCGATTTTGTCCAGAATCCTCTGTGGCTCTAGGGGGATTCCAACTGGAATGTCTCGAAGATAGATTAAAATTAGGATGGAATTCCACTTTGGGTGCTGTGGCAGTTGATAACTGAGATCTTTGATTGAAGCTTCTTTCAATATCTAATGTAGGGTAATTATGACTCGCGACTACGTTTTGCAATTTATTTTGTCCATATTTCATTTTTGCTGCTTCATTTTCAGTAGAGTCAGCTGTCGTTCGTACAGTTTTGACTGATAAATCCAATGGACTTTCTTTTCTTTGCTTAATAACAGAGGTATTCGACATATTTAGTACCGTATTTGTTCTATTGTCTATTGGATTTTGTTTTGGATAATTCATATTTTGAATTGGCTGACTATTAGGCATATTTTGTACATTTTCCAGTTTAGTTCTTTGATACGTCATAGGAGGATTTTGATTACTAGAACTGTTGTAGTTAGTGGAATTCGATGGTGTCATTATAACATTGGTATATGTTTGTGTAATTACAGTTGTTACTTGCTGATTTAGTTTTTGGCTATTAGCAGGATTATACATGGTATGGTGGGTATTTGGTGCCTGGGAGTAGGGGTCAGATCTAACTTTACTGTGCTGAATTGTTGAAGGATGCGTTGGAGGTTGAGATATACTTGTTGCAAAAGATGTTGATGAAGGTACTTTGGCGCGAGGTAGAACAGATTTAGCAGAATTTGAAATTTTCGTAGGACGATAGCTTGCAATAGGAGGAAGATTGTGAGTAGTCTTATAAGCCTTTTCGTTACTAGTTGGAGTTTGATATTGACCATTACTTTGAGTGTTATTACTTTGAATAGTTGCTTCTCGTCCTTCCAGTTGATAGCTAGTTTGCTTCATTGACATACTTGGCATACTATGTTTATAATACGTTTGTTGTTGGGAAGCTTGTGGAACTTGAGGAGGAAGGTAACTGTTAGTGGATTTGGCTGTTACTGATTGGGGTTGCGGAGTAGCATAATTCGGTCGAGACTGATGATAGCTATATTGGTTTTGGCTATAACTAGCTGACGATGTGTGCTGGTAAGATTGCCTTGTTGATATTAACTGTTCCCTGGATGATGGCCTGGGTATCTGTGGCGAGACTGGTTGATGATATGTTGAATTGGTAACATTATGCTGTTGCTGTTGGTGACTTGAAAGTAAATCTCGTGATTGGGGTCTCGAGAATTGAAACGAGGCTTGCGGCATGTGAGCGGTAGGTTGCAGGTCCGGCCCTTGCGGTGGGTACGGACTTGAATATTGTCGTGAAACGTCTTGGTACTGGGATGAATGGGATGGGGGTCGTGAACTCGCAGAACTGTGCGACGATGGTGGTCGTTGAACTGGAGTTCTTTCCCTTGGAGGTGGCCTAAAAACAAGAGAATAAAATAATTTCTAATAACAAAAATCAAATGTACATGTGAACAGTGATCGGATCTTTAGTAAAGCGATGCTAGTTAAAAAATGAAATTGTTGTGACACTCTATAGTCTGGCAAGTGGTAACCTGATAGAGACGAAAGGGGGAAGCAAAGTGGGGCGTAGCCTAAGAATATTCACTGACACCACCTGATGACAACCATGTCTTTGGATTCAGTGACACCGAAAACACCAAGGAAATCTTCTTCCGGTGCCGTGTCTGTCTTCAGGCGTGGGCTACGTCCATGACAATCTGGTTAAATTTGTCACTATCTGTCGCTACTCGGAATAGTTGTTCCACTCCCAGTCCGGTTCAATTTCTAATGATTCGAAGCCATGACAGTTTTTTGCGACCTATCCATCTTCTGCCCTCAACCTTTCCCTGGATGATCAGGCGAGGGATGTAATATTTGGTGCCTCGATTGATATGTCCGAAATAACTAACCTTTCTTATTTTTATGGTGTTCAGAAGTTCTCGGTTCTTATTCAGCTGTCTTAGTACCTCTTCATTGCTGGTATGTGCGGTCCAAGGGATTTTGAAAATTCTCCGACATCGCCACATTTCAAACGGTTCTATTTTGTTCATGGTATCAGCTTTAAGCGTCCATGTCTCACATCCGTACAAGAGAATGCTCCATACGTAACAGCTGAGTGTTCTTAACCGCGTCTGGACTGTGAAGTGTCTATTGGTGAGAGTTGGTTTCCATTTATTAAATACCCTACGTGACATTTCAATCCTCGCTAATCGGAGTTGGTTCGATTTTATTTTACCTGCGGTCATCCATTTCGTTTTCTTGATGTTTATATCAATACCCCATCTTTGGCTAGCCTCATGCACTCTATCCAGCAGTAGTTGCAAATCTTCCATGTTCTCCGCAATGATGGCAGTGTCATCTGCGTATCTTACGTTCTTCATTATTTCGCCTCCTATCTTTACTCCCTCTACCCTGTCATGTAAAGTCTCACGAAATATGTTCTCTGGATAGAGGTTGAACAACAGGAGTAACAGAACACATACTTGTCTTACGCCTCTTTTTATTGGTATTTCATCTGTAACGCTGTTATCCAGCCCGACTACAGCTGTTTGACTATGATACAGGTTTATCAATACGCCCTTTGATCATAATAGTCTAGTAATGATTCTAGACATTGGAAAAATTTGGTGTCTTTGACTCGATCGAATGCTTTTTCGAAGTCAATAAAACATATATAAATGAGTTTTTGAAACTCACAGCTCTTCTGCAATAATGACCTCATGCAGAAAAGGGCTTCACGCGTTCCCCAGCTCGCTGCGGAAACTAAATTGTTCCCTGCCAATATTGTGTTCACATTTAGTGTATGTTCTATTGAGAAGTATCTTTATAGGAGTATTTTTTTCAAAGTGTGACTCATTAGGCTGTGTCGGACTAGGGATCATTTGGCCCACCGGGCAAATGGTGAAGTGGCCTACCCAACCCAAACCCCATTCAATAAAAACAATTTTGATAATCATTTGTTGAATCTGGTGCCTAGTTGTATTGAAGGCATAAAAAAAATAGGTAAGTATAAAAAAAAGGTACAGGGTGTTTTTTTTTTTATGTATTGACACCCTACCTACAGCCTTTACCTTTACAAGTAGAAGAAAGGTGTAAATACAAAAGTTGTACAGTTTTGGCTGAATTTTTAGAAACCATGGTCAGAAACAAAATTTCAATGTCAGAAATGTGAAATTTTGCATGCTTCCAGCTTTTTTCAAATGGGATGCCCTACATTTCATTCTATATTCTTGAAGAGCACAATGTTCCGATTCCAAAAATATATAGTTTGTCTATATTTGATTGAACAGTCTCTCATATATTCGCCTCCAAAAATTGTAAAAATACTATCCTACTTCTGATTTTGTGAACCATTTCACCTGTACAGGGTGTCCGAATTTGGATGGTTTTAATAGGAAACATCAATTTCTGAGCAAGATACAAAAAAATGAACCCCCCACTCCGAGGCTCAAATTTCTTGAAATATTGATTGGTGCAAACCGCATTTTGATATCTTTAACCGTTTAGCCGCTAGAGGGCGATTCTCGATTTTGAGCAATAATGTGAAACCATCATAACTTTTTTGTTTATGAAAATTATTGATTTCCGTAAAAACTTTCTAGAAGCACTTTTCCAAGCAGAATTCAATGACTTTCTCAGTTTTTTTCTAGTTGGTCCCAACTCCGAGATATTGACCAAAGTCTGGTTTTTTCAATAGGACACTCTATATATTAATAGCTCATTAAAAAGGTCGGCTTTTTCTGATTTAAATGATATAAAGTTCGATAGGTTCATCTCTAATAGTTTTCGAGAAAAAAAATTATTTCGGTTTTTGTCATAAGAAGCAATGTGTAAGAAAAGGACTTTATATCTGTGAGGAAACTGAGAAAGGTCTCTTTCTAACTAATTGTTTCTTATGACAAAAGCCGAAATATTTTTTTTTCTCGAAAACTGTTCGAGATAAACCTATCGAAATTTATATCATTGAAATCAGCAAAAGCAGAGCTTTCTAGTGAGCTATTAATATATAGGGTGTCCCATTGAAAAAAATCGGATTTTGGTCAATATCTTGAAATCGAGGCCCAATAGAAAAAAACTGAAAACGTCACTGAATTCTGCTTGAAAAAGTGCTTTTAGGAAGTTTTTACGGAAATCAGTTATTTTTATAAACAAAAAAGTTATGAAGATTTCACAGTATTGCTCAAAATCGAGAATCGCCCTCTAGCGGCTAAACGGTTGAAGATATCAAAATGCGGTTTGCGCCAATCAAAATTTCAAGAAATCTGAGCCTCGGAGTGGGGGGTTCATTTTTTTGTATCTCGCTCAGAAATTGACGTTTCTTATTAAAACCATCTAAATTCGGACACCCTGTACAGGTGAAAGCTGCAGGTAAAATTTGAGGTAGGTACTTGGTTTCTCTGATAGAATTTTTAAAATTTTTAGAACCAACTATGTTGGAGACGGCTCAACCAAATACAGACAAACTATATAGTTTTGGAATCAGGAAATTGTACTCTTCAAAAAAATAGAACCAAATATACGGCATCCTACTTGAAAAAAGCTGAAAGCATGCAACATTTCACATTTCTGACATTCAATTTTTGTTCCTGACCATCCATGGATTTTAAAAATTTAGCCAATACTGTACAACTTTTGTATTTACAGCTTCCATTTACTTGTAAAGGTGAAGGCTGTAGGTGGGGTGTTAATACATAAAAAAACACCCTGTACTTGAACAATAACTTATTAGGTATATAAAGTCAGAATTTGTGAGATTATCCACTTTTTGTCAATTTGCATTTTAACAGGAATTAGTAATGTTACTTTACCAAACTAGTAATATAATATGACAAGTTATTTTAGTACAAACGGGTGGATTGTTGCGGAACTTATGGGTGGACCTCTGCGGGTCGAGCGCAGCGAGTTCCGCAGCCATCTATTCATCAATATGTTGTTTAATTACGATGCTAACTTAACTCACTCAAATGTGAGTTATTCTCATTAGTTCGCACGTTTCAGGTGAATGTCTTATTTGAGTACTTCAACAGTATATTGGTGAGTAGATGGCTGCGGAACTCGCTGCCCTCGTCCCACAGAGGTGCACCCATAAGTTCCGCAATAATCCACTTATTTGTACTTGAACAATAACTTATTATATAAAGTCAAAATTTGTAAGATTATGATTATTCACTTTTTGTCAATTTGCCTTGCAACAGGAATTACTGGAATTAGTAATGTTACTTCACTAAACTAGTAACATAATGTGACAAGTTATTCAAGTACAAATGAGTAAATTGTTGCGAAACTTATGGGTGGACCTCTGCGGGACGAGCGCAGCGAGTTCCACAGCCATCTATTCATCAATATGTTGTTTAATTACGATACTAACCTGACTCACTCAAATGTTAGTTGCCTTAGTTGAACAGTTCAACAGTATATTGGTGAGTAGATGGTTGCGAAACACCCATAAGTTCTGCAATAATCCACTTATTTGTACTTGAACAGTAACTTATTATATAGTCAAAATTTGTAAGATTATCCACTTTCTGTCAATTTGCCTTTCAACAGGAATTAGTAATGTTACTTTACCAAACTAGCAATACTTATATTATGACAAGTTATTCAAGTACAAACGAGTGGATTGTTGCGGAACTTATGGGTGGACCTAGCCCTCTATTCACCAATATGTTGTTCAAGTATGATACTAACCTGATTCACTCAAATGTGTTATTCTCATTAGTTTAAAAACTACACGTTTCAGGTGAATGCCTTACCTGAACAGTTCAACAGTATATTGGTGGGTAGAAGGCTGCGGAACTCGCTGCGCTCGTCCCGCAGAGGTCCACCCATAAGTTTCGCAATAATCCACTTAGGTATTTGTACACGGTGTTTTTTTATATATTGACACCCCACCTATAGCCTTTACCTTTACAGGTAGAAGAGAGGTGTAAATACAAAAGTTGGACAGTTTTAACTGAATTTTTAAAAACCATGTCAGAAACAAAATTTAAATGTTAGAAATGTGAAATTTTGCATGCTTCCAGCATTTTTCAAATGGGATGCCCTATATTTCATTCTATATTCTTGAAGACCACAATGCCCCGATCTATATTTGATTGAGCAATCTTTCATATATTCGGCTCCAAAAATCCAAACCATTCTACCTGTATAGGTGAAAGCTGCAGGATATTTTTAGAACCAAATATGTTGGAGACGGCTCAACCAAATATAAACAAACTATATAGTTTTGGAATCGGGAAATTGTGCTCTTCAAGAATATAGAACCAAATATAGCGCATCCCATTTGAAAAAAGCTGAAAACATGCAATATTTCACATTTCTGATATTCATTTTTTGTTTCTGACCATGAATTCTAAAAACTTAGTCAATATAATAAAAAAACATCCTGTACTTTAAGTTTCCCTACCTGCTTATATT